GGCTGACCGATAACTGATCGTGAGCGACTTAACCCGCCCTTAACGTCAATCACAATCTTTCCCCTTAATTATCACATGTATACGCGTATTAATTACCAAAGAAACGAAAGTATAATATACAGTATATATGGGGCCCCACAGAAAAAGAAGGGGATGGGCCAAAAAATTTTTTTTTAAAAAAATTCAATATCTTGAAGAATTAGGTTGATTAGAATAAAATTATTATAAAATTAAAACATCTGATTTTTGGCCCATCCCCTTCTTTTGCTGTGAGAGATCCCATATGTTCATACTATTGGTATTATGAAAAATTTATGAAAAACGAATTTTCATATTGACTAGTCACTTTATTTGTAGCATTTTAAAACGTTAACATAAATGAAATATTTAAGTATTTTAAGTAACTAGGATTTTTTATAATCGGGCTGATTTTTTTAGGATACTTTAAGATATTTTTGCTTAATTTGTTATAATAATTTAAAATGATCACAAAAAAAAAAAAAATAACCATTAATTAAGAGGTTTGACTTCTATACTCTGCTTTTAAAGTATCGATTAATCCTTTTCTACCTTTATAATCAAACATCTTTTTTACTTTTTTTATTAATCTATCATCATTTGTTATAACTAATGTTGTCGATAACATTAACATCGTATGTTCAAATGATGACGTTATTAGCTTTGCTATTTTTTTAAAAAATATTTTACGTATAATGATTATATATTTTTAGAAAATAAAATATAGATAAACATAATATACACGTACCTTTATGATATTTTAATAAAGCAACAGCGACAAAATAAAGTATATCAAATCCATGTAACATTAATAAATCCCAAATTCTAAGCACAGTATGATGAGGTACAACATCGCTTGTAAATAATGTTATATACCATCTTGTTGCATATGCTGTAGTTGTTAATTGTATTTTATTCTTAAATTAAAAAAAATTAAATCGATAATAAGAAATTTTTATTCAGAAAGATTCATTAAAATAATAATAATAATAATAATAATAATAATACTCACAAATTGAGAGGCAATTTTTGGAGTATATTTTAACAATAATTTTTCCTGAACATAAAAACTTTCCAATAACGCGGGGAAACCAGGTATAAACAAGTTATGTAAATTACATTTTGTGAATAATTTTGTTAACATTATGAAAGCGTTCTAACGCGAAGCAAGTAAAATATTAATAAATTAAGATGTAATCTATTTTGAAGTAATGAAACATAATATACAAACCTCTTCGGTATAATACATTAATAAAATGGTTACAATATTTGTCATCCCTTGGCAATAACCGATTTGTGTATTATAATTTGAAAATGCTCGAAGTATATTAAATAACGCTCTTTGTCTATTTAAAATAGAAAGATAACAAGAGCATGAAAGTTGTTAATAAATTATAGATATAAAATTATAGATTAACTTATAAGTTTAAATGTTTATTAATTTATTATCCACGTACCCAGGGCCATATCTAGATCGAAACATAATATGAGAATGTAAAGTACGTGGGATATCCAAATCAATTTGTTTTTCGTGTTGTGAAGGTAACGTTAATAGCATCTTAATGATGGGAACATTGATATAAAAGATAATGTAAAAGATGAGTCAATAGATTGTGATAAATATTTTGAAATCATAAAACTTAATTATTTACCTCATATGTACGCTGTAAATTATCATCATATTCTGATTCAGCATCACCGTTTGTAACTAAAAAATACCTATACATATAAATTATATAAAATAAATCAATATTGTTTGAAAACTAACCATGTTATAATTATAATTAATTACCAAACAGGAAGCCTCCAAGAATCGGGGATCCCTTTATAGACCCGTCTATAAAACTAGTAATAATAATAAAATATTAAATAATAGTAATAATAATAAAAGTAACAATGACAATTTTCTAGAACGAATGAAGAATACTAGAATAATATATTTCACTTGCATAACTAATTACCTTTTTATCCCACGGAAAGACGTAACTACTACAGCCAAATTTTCCAGATTTTTTAACGAATTTATTTGAAGATACCCATGAAGCCCATTTTAGTGATCTTTCGGCCTCTTTTTTTTCAAGTCTTTTATAAATAAGAAAATCAAGAAAATTAATTAATTAATTAATTGACTAATTTATTTGAATAATCAAGATAATAATCGTGTATAGTAATAGATAACCTTAATTCATAAGACGATAAAGGAGGGGCAGGGCTCTTTCCATCTGAAGAAGTTATAAAACCATATCTATAAAACCATAATTATTTAATAAAAATGTACTGTAATGTAATATTAATGTAGTATAATGTAGTATAATGTAGTATAATATAATATAATATAGTACAATATAGCACATCAGACATAAGCTTACCTATCAACACATGAACTAAATTGATCAAAAATTAAATCATCTTTAGGCAATCTTAATTTCCAACGTTCATATATAGTTCTAATATCATCATTTTCAGAATCCGATTTTCCAAAAGTAGTACTTTTAGTATAATGAAGTCCAGAATGACTACTATGCCATCTTCTTAAGTGACCAGTAGCTAAACCTACACTTTGTGATTGAAATTGAAAGGTGTTACGAGATTTTTTTGAAGTATCAGAAGTTCCAATTAAAGGAGATTCGGATAAAGGAATTTCAGGTATAGGAGAAAAAGGAGGAGAAATAGAAGTAGTTGTTCCAGATGTAGAAGTAGTTGAAGAAGTTGAACCACTTGTCCCTATATCAACACCAGCAGAATTACCCGCACTCGATACAATACCACTAGATTCACTTAAATTTAAAGTACCACCATTTAAATGACTTAAATTTGATACATCGCCACCTAAGTCATTTAAATTATTTTTTTGAACATTTTCAGAAAATTCAAATGTATTTTGAGTTTCCTTTTCATTATCATAAGAATCTTTTGAATCATCTTTTTTAACCGATGATTTGATAACCGTTGATGACGTAGTTTTTGGTTGAGCATTTTTAAAAGTTGGTATACGAGAATTAGGAACTTGAGATTTTTGTGATATTATTACTGGTGATTTATGAAATATTGTTGGTGATTGTTGAACTATAGGTGTTGATGTTATAATAGTATCTTGAAGAGTTGAAGTGGAAGTTTCTTTTGTTAAATTTTCGTTTATCGATTTGTTTTGGCCACCTGATTCGAGTGACATTTTTTTTTTTTTATAATAATAATATATAATTTTTTTTTGTAAAAATAAGCAAAGAAAAGAAGTTTATCTGTAATCGATGAAATTTTATATTTATAAATAATGATTGATTGATATAATGATATATTTACAAAACGTTAAAAAAAAAAAATAATAATAATAAAAGAAAAAACGTTTACAAAAAAAAAAAAAAAAAAAAAAAAAAAAAAAAAAAAAAAAAAAATATAAAAAAAAAAAAAAAAAAAAAAAAAAAAAAAAAAAAAAAAAAAAAAAAAAAAAAAAAAAAAAAAAAAAAAAAAAA